GGTCCAAGTGAGATTCAACTTTTACAGTTTGACAAGCACTTTTCGGATAATATAAAATGGCCATATCTAAAAAATGGTGCAAAAATGTTGAAAAACAGCTAAGTTATAATTTTTTTTCTAAAAATTTATCGAACATTTGTATGGGAGCTATATGATATAGTCGTCCGATCCGGCCCGTTCCGACATATATAGCAGTGAGAGTATATAGAAGACCCTATACAAAGTTTCATTCAGATAGCTTTAAAACTGAGGGACTAGTTTGCGTAGAAACAGACAGACGGACAGACGGACAGATGGACAGACGGACAGACGGACAGACGGACATGGCTAGATCGACTCGGCTGTTGATGCTGATCAAGAATATATATACTTTATAGGGTCGGAAAGGTCTCCTTCACTGCGTTGCAAACTTCTGACTGAAATTATAATACCCTGCAAGGGTATAAAAATAAAAAAGGGAAATGATGATGATGATGAGGTTAGAGGACAGTCAGCTTTTGGAATTCAAAGTGAAAAGTTGAGGAGCACCACAGAAAATAAATGATAACTGAGGGGTTCCAGGGAGAATTTAAAGTTGATGGATAAATAGATATATTTTTGTAAAGATTTTATGATAATATTTAAAAAAAATAAATGTAACTTTAAAAATATTTTTAAAGCATTCGAAGCCTTTCTTGGCCTCTTTAAATGCCAAACTGGTTGTCCTTGCCCCAGCAAACTCTCTCCCTCCCACTGCCTGTCAATGGGAATTTACCATTTAACCATTTTCAGAGGCTTCTCTCCTGCGGCTGCTGTCCTTGTCCTGGAATCTCCTCTTCTTCAGTTTTCAGTTCTGTTTTCAGTTGAGCTTCAGTTTACCAAATGCCTCCGCCATTAAGTGCATAATTCAATTTGTAAAGCCGCCGACTTTGAGTGCCGCTAAAAGTATGCAAAGCAGCCGCAGGAGACGAATGGACCAACAAGGATGAAAATCCGCCTGCATAGATCAACGGGGCATAAGGACACTGCCTATATTTGTATACCTGAATATGGCATGGGGGTTCCCTTTTTGTAATGAAAATAAAGTAGCAGCTTTAACGCATTTTTATGGCCTTTATGCAGAGGGGTAAAGAACACAAAACAAAATGCGCGATAAATGTGAGTGTGCTGCCAAGGAATGGAGTCCGGGTGGGGCAGCAAGAAGCCAGTAAGGACAACCAACCCACACACCTGCTCTATGCAAATGAGCAAGGGCAGTGGTACAGGGGAAAACTGGAAAAGGGGCCCCTTTTTTCGACTCCTTCTGAAATCGTAAAAATCTGTCAATTCGCAGACCCATTGTCTTCAATTTCCAGCAATCAAGCGTGGCTGGGGCAATCAGGAGCGGATTTAGGCAAGGGGTTTTATTTATAATAAATAAAAAGCATAATCAACAATAAGAAATATAATTAAATTAAAAGAACCAACTTAATTAGACATGAAAGTACATTGTTTTTATACCCTTTGAGGGTATTATAATTTCAGTCAGAAGTTTGTAACGCAGTGAAGGATTCTTCATCAGCATCAACAGCCGAGTCGATCTAGCCATGTCCGTCTGTTTCTACGCAAACTAGTCCCTCAGTTTTAAAGCTATCTAAATGAAACTTTGTATATAGTCTTCTATATACTCTCACTGCTATATATGTAGGGACGGGCCGTATCGGACGACTATATCATATAGCTGCCATACAAGTGATCGACAAATTTCTAGAAAAAAATGTATAACTTGGCCTTTTTTGTTATTTCACAATTTCGGTTTTAATTTTAATTAATTTAAAATCGGACAACTATACCATATAGCTGCCATAGAAACGATCGGTAGATGTACATTAACAACAGCGAGTTTACATTTATTTTTTACTAATCACCTTTTTAAATAGATAATTTATAAAAACACTTCGTTTTTTTACTCTCCCATACCCTAGCTGTGAGCCTTGAGTGCAACCATAAGGAATCCAAGACGATGTGTCCAGCTGGAAGATGGGTCTTTAAGGAGACGGCATGGTTCCTTGGGGGAGGACACCACACTCTCTAATACCTCGAATACCTCTCCTCCAAATATCCTGGGTCCTGAGTCCTACCCTGGCTAGTTGGCGCTACATGGTCCTTGCCCGCTTTGTTTGCTCGCGTCTGCTGGCAAATTTATGCGGTCCAGGCTAATCCTCGTGGGGATTTCTGCTTAAAACGTTTTATTGTTGCCCCACGTAGGCGCAGACGGTAGTGGGCGTGGTCTTGCAGGAGGAGGGGGCGTGGCACACACGTTGCCTACTGTACGGCTGTCGACTGCAGATTTCCCAGTTGCCTTGTAAATTTATCGCATTAAAAAAGTGTGAATTTTCAACAACGTTGTTTGCCGCCGCCCCACCCCCCGCTGTCCCTGCTCTTCCTTCGACCTTTTTTTCCTTTTCTTACTTTCAACTTCCTGTTCCGCCTTCGTCCTTTTAATTCCTTTCTGTCTTGCAGCCACCGCTTGACACTGTCATTATGTAAATTAAATTGTGGCGAATTATTGTTTTTATTCTTATTTTCGGCGGGGAGCCCTCTCTGCTTTAACTTTTTTGTTTTCGCTTGGCCCACTCCCATTTCCGTAATTTATTTATATATTTATTTATTTGCCCGCCTTTCAGCTCCTTGTCCTTGTCCTTGTCCGTGTTCGTGTCCTTGTCCCCGCTATTGTTGTTCGAGTGTATAATTCATAATTTGCGGTTGCCGTTGCCGCCTCTCATATCGCTGACAAAGCAATAAAAGTTTCTCCGCCAAGTTAACAAATCACCGTTGAGGGGGGATAGTGGGTGGAGTCCCCACCCACCTCCAGGACAAACAAGGATCGCAAAATCGCAAAATCTTATTTGAAAGGCAGGCCATGTGCGAGAACCTCCAAAGAAATCCATTTGACTGCTAGTTTTAAATTCTGACAGGAGGATCTTAAATCTTCCTTTTAACTCCTTAGCTTAGTCCTTTCAAGGAATCCACATTCTCCTGGCCATACCCTTCAAATTGTCATATTTGCTGCTCGGCTTAGTGCCAGCAGTTCCTTCTGGAAACTGCCATCGATCCGTTTCAATTAGCTGCAACAGTTTGAGTAAGCTTCCCCAGGACCACAGGCTTAGGACCTTCCTTCGTTGTCCTTGCTGCTTCGTCCTTCGTCCTGGCTGACCGCCCATCAACCGCTGGACTGTTAATTAAGCCTCAGAGTAACAGACACGACTCGCATACACACATGCAGACCACTGGACACAATATACACTGCCCAAAATATGAGCCCACTGATAGGGAACACTTAAAAAAAATACCCCACCTTTTATTTCAATTCCCACTTGATGTGAACGCTGTCCTGGCAGAACGAAAGAGTCCAGAAAAAGAGGAGAAGAAATCTAAATGAAAACTGAATTCGAAGAAGAACACAGGGAGAGAGATACAGGGAGGGGGAGGAAGGACTTTGAGTGGACAGAAACAAAAAGACAAAACGAAAAAGGAAATGAAAAATCATAAAATAATAAATTGCGGATTTAATTTAATTTTATTTTGCGAACCAAGAACCAAATAAAATCAACAAGGAAAGCGAAACGCATCATAATAAACGGCTTTTGATGGGGCCAAGCGAACACTTAAGGCGGCAGAGGATGCGGGGGCGGGCAGTGGGCGTGGAACATAAAAAAAAAAGAAAATCCGGGGGAAAAGGCATCCTCCTTGGAGGAAAGGCGTTTCGGTCAGGAGTCGGCACGTGATTGATGTGCGCTTATTGTGGCAGCCGTAATGGGCCAGCGAAAGATGTTCGACAGATTTTCTTGCTACCCAGGATATGCAAGGTATGCCAGGCTCCTCTGACAGGGATTCAGTAAGGAGAGGAGAGGATATATTGGCTCCAAGTCCATCATAGGCCAGATTTTTAGCACTAAAATCTGAAAAGTGACAAGCACAAAACAAAAAACGAGCAGCAAAAGAGCAAGGAGGAGGAGTGAGGAGGAGCTGGAACAGAGGCAGGAGCTGGAGCAGGACCAGAATCTGGAGCTGAGACCACAATGAGGGACTGGGACTTGGAGAAACCCAGAGAGAAATAGCGGGGCGAGAAGGGCTCGGGCCCTTTGTCTCGCTGTGTTTGTTTTCCCGGCTCGTGTTTGCTCTCGCCTCGGCCGCCACGCCACAAATAGGACATCAAGGACACTTAAGGACATGTCCCAGACACCCGAGGAATTCCAACCTGGCCAAGCAAATCATAAAAATCAAAGGACACAGCACGCAGAAACAAAAATCCAATGCCAAGGAATAACGAAGAAGAAATTCGAAAGAATTAACAACGCGTCAAATCAGGGCCAGCTTAGGAACTGTTTTATGCCCGTCCCGCCTCCGCCTTTTATGATGGACTTTTATTGCCGCCGTTTATGCCTTCCTGCCCTCCATTCGGAGGACATGAAATTATTTTGCATGTCGCGCGCCATAAAAGCTCAACTCAAGCTAGCAAATTTGGGATAAACCCTTCGGTATGGGTCCAAGACTAAAGTTTTCCCATAAAATAAAAAAAGAAAAAATAAGAAAAGAAAAGAAAAGAAAAGTCCCGGTCCGAGCATCAACTGTGACTGAAACGAGGAAATTTTTCAGCTAAAAAGGCACCGATCGCAGGGGTTAAGGCGTCTGAGAAGAGGGAAAGTTTTGATTTTATGGGAATTTTAAATAAATATTTATATAGATATTATATATATCCTTAAACAATTCTTTATAAAACAAACACTTGATTTTTCCCATATCCTTAAGGCTTCTTTTAACTGGAAATAGTAATTGAAAGCGACGCACAGGGCGTATACTTACTCATGATGGCGGCTGTGCCATGTTTGAATCTATCTAAATACATTTACTATTTTAATATATAGTAAGAAACCCCCTTAAAAAAATCTTTATAATTTTACCACTTGATTTTCCCATATCCCCAGTCTTCCCTTTAATGAAAATAGAAATTGAAAGCGACCCACGGGGCGTATACTTACTCATGATCGCGGTTGTGCTTGTAGGAGTCGCGGTAGCGCGTGCGCAGATTCCGCCGGATATCGCTGCTGTCGTTGGCATGCCGGTTGTGGGAGAGGGCGGCGGGCAGCAGCAGGGCCATTTCTGGAAAAGAAACAAAGGGAATACAGTTAGGATTAGTGGTGGAATTGCTTCCAAGGGGAGCGGAAACCCATGCCACTCCCGGAAGTGTGTGCGTGTCTCCAGCACGTATATATTTTATATATATAAATATATATATATTTTGTTTGCCTTGTCGGTTTGGCTCTCGTCCTTTTGTCGGCGTCTTTTTGCCGCTTTTTTTACAGCGCGGAATCAAAACATGCCATTAGCAGGCCACCAAAAAAGAGAGAGAAAAGGCAAGCGGGGCAAACAACATGTGCAGGAATGCCCCACCTTGGCTCCACCTCCCACATCCTCCTCCTCCACCTCCTCCGCAGATTGCATAGAAATGCGAAACCTTAACCCGCTCAAGTCCCCTTAACCTCCCTCTGTCACCGCGGCAGTGACAGCACGTCAGGCAACGACAGCCAACAACCAAGAGCCAACACCTTGGTGACGTGCCGCGGGTGCAGAACGATGCCAAATGTCAGGGACACTTGAAGAAAATTTGTGAAAAATATTTGATATATATCTTAACAGTTAAGAATTTTTTTTAGGAATTTGTATGGCATCTTTTATATTATAAATACATTTTTAGCAAACATTTCTTCATATTTTTGAGTTTGCAAACCGAAAAAAATATATGTTTCTTGTGGTACTTTCCTCCCTTTTTCTTTCAATGTATGTGCTCTCCTTTGATTTCACCGCCACTGTGTTTACCCGATATAATTTACGTGTGCGATTTGTTTGCTGTTCGCCCTGGGACTCTGGCACACTCAAAGGTCTCCAGAGCGATGGTTTGGCACAGAGACAGGAACAGGTTGAAGGTATCGTGGCATCGGAAAGTTCATCAGATATATAGGAGGGTGAAATAAATACCCATTGGGTGCACTTTCAGCTCTTTGTAATCAAAAGCCACGAATTCGTTGGTCTTTAAACTTTTTTTTTTTGTACTTTACTTATTAAGGCATACGGGGAGTCCTGTTGTCGGTTAGCATTTTCAATAATATTACAATAATAACAATTACCTTACAATTACATCTCAATACAATTACATCACATTAAATATAGACATCACAGTCTGGCCATTGTAGGTCGTCTTCTTGTAGCCACAGGCGACCGAAGAATAAGATCACCAGGGTTCCTCCTCCTTAGCCTCCTGGGGTTTATCCCTCTTACTAGCCTATTGGCTAGGCAGTTTCTATGCCGCGCCAGTCTGTCGTGGTAGCGACTTGAGTGCTTGTTGATTTCCTCCATCACCGTGGAAAGCTTCAGGTCCTTGTGCAGGGTGGAGTTGCGGACGTACCACTCGCAGCCGGTGAGGTCTTTAAACTAAATTCCTCTGATTTTGTATTTAATTAAACCCAAAAAAAAATCACTCTAACATTTCCATTTTTCAATTATAATAACTCGTCAATCAATTTCATAAAAGTTGTAGCAAACAGTCTCACTACCCTCCCTATACACTCACACACTTATTGTACATACATGGCTGAATTATACGATAGTTATAAGCACAAAAGATACATCTCGCTCTCACATTCAGATCGTGCTTAGGAACACTACTCTGTATGTCCCTTTCGCACGATCGGCAACTGACACACCAATACATACATGTAATAGGCTAAGCATAGAATGGAGGAATGAATAAAGAACACTTCCTTTGCGACCACTGAAGAGAACAGTAACGTGCCTCCTACAAAGTTTTTGCTGAAAACCCACACACACACCCTCTCTTTCTCTCTCTCTCTCTCTGGCTGCTGTATATCCTGGTCCTTGTCCATATGTGTTGCATAATTTTAGGCATCGCCCCCCCCTGCAACTTATGCAAATTTAACGAGGCAAGTGCTAAGCACAGAAGGGTGCGGCATTCCCCTACCCTCCCCCCACCCTCATTTGCATAATCAAATGCCATATTGTTGGGGGCGGTTGGGGGGGGGGAGAACACAACGTCAAGGTCCTTCCGCTCAGACTTTGCCTTGCGCCAAAGGTAAACTTTGGCAGCCTTCAAGCGGAAAACTGAAAAAGTTCAGGTGCCACAGATCGCAGGATATATATTTACCAAGAAAATAATAATAGATTTGGATATATTCCAGCAAAAATATTGGTGTTACCATTCCTTATTTGCTTGTCATTATTAGACCAGCTTGAAAACAGAAGATCCTGGGCCAGGACTCGGGCAAATAATTAGCCAAACAAACCCTATTTGTAGGCGGCAAGGACGCTACTGCCGCTCGATGGCACTTCATCGCTCATCGCGGACGATTACCGACCGGGGCGACCGTGAACCAAGATGACAGCCATACTCACACGGCTGCAGGTTAATTGGAATTTAGCACTGGAGTGGGAGGGAGGAGGAGGAGTGCGTGTGTGTGTGCTTGCAAGTGTTAAGCAATTATTTTTATAACGTTAATGAGCACCGAGCATTATTGCGGCTGCGAATGAGGTCGTCTCCAATTCGGGTCTTTGGGGCAGGGAAAAAAGGGAACGGGGAGTTGCCGCCAACTGGGTTTTAGGGGGTTCCTGGGGCTTCCTGTTTTTCCTGGCGGCACGTGTGGCAAATGTCGCACGAGAAAAACCCCGAAAAAAAAAAGAACGCGCTTGCCAAAAAATTGTATGTGCAACCTGAAGCTGGAGTTTGTGAATTATGTAGATGGCAATTACCGCCGAGTTTTTCCGCTTTTCCCTGCCAGTCCCTGGATGAGTGAACTGATCATGCATATTTTATGGTTGCAGGCTCCTTTTCTGGCCTCACCTTTCACCTTTCAACTTTCACCTGTGCCTTTGTTTACCTTAATTATTGTGCGTGTTTCTGTATGTGTGCGTGTGTGTGTGTGTGTTTGGGAGACAGCCAAACACACACACACACACACACACTTACGGCAGCTTGTTTGTTAGCAATTAAGTTGGAATTAGAAAATTTTTAATAGCATACTTAAGGGCGCACCGCACTGACATATTCCGTTTCCGTTTCCTGTAAGCAGCCGGCAGCAAATTGAATTTTGCCTTGACTAGGAAGGAAGCGAGGCTAAAGGGGGGATAGAGGGGGTTACAGGGGGGTTATAGGGGGTAATAGGGCTAAGAAAGGTTACAGAGAGACAAGCTAGGCAGTGAAACTGTTCATTTGGTGAAAGATTACACGGCTAGAAGTTAACCTGTCCTTTGGCAACGTATTTAAATTTTAAATGATGTTCACTAAAACCAGCTGTTAAATTATGATAAATTTAAAGACTTGACAACTCTTTCAAGAATTTAAATTTTAGACTAAGTTAATATAAAAATAACAAGGCGAATGTTAGCAATAATCCAAAAGTTGGAATATTTAAAAAGAAATGCAAGCTGTGTTCTTTGATTTTAGACTTTTTGTTGCGGTCATGTTTGCCTTTATAATCGACGCTTTTAATGCCCTGTAATTGCTGGCAAAGCAAGGGATAGCATAGTGTTGGAGGAGCAGATTTCCCGCCCACCTATAGCTCCTCCTGCTAGTCCTGCGGCGATTGTCTGTCGGCTATTTGCAACGCAAACACAACCGCACATCCGCCCACGGTGTGGTGGCATGGGCGTGGCTGTGGGAGGTGCTAAAAACAATAAACAGCTTAAGAGCATTATGAGCGTTAAACACACACACACTAGGACGACGCCCAAGCAAGCGCTTTAATTAACATTCGCAGGACTGCCTGCACAGGACACCACCTACTACGAGTCTGTGTATATGTGCACATAATTGCGAACCAATTAAGGAGTAGGCAAACCAGCTCCTTTCCCACATTTAAATTATAATAATTCCGCAATCCCCGAAAAATACGAGCCGAGAATTAAACCGGAAAGGCAATATTCACGCATTTGTTACGCAATTAGTTTAGGCATTTATTTGTAATATTTTAATATGGAATTTATTTTGGGCAACACAAATATGGGCGTCCGATGCCCCACTTTTCCCCCGATTATGATTGTAATTAAATATGTAATTATATGAAAGCGATTTTAGATTTAAAAACAACATTCGTGTGCGTACATTTTCATTCAAAAATAATATTTCATGAAAGTAATTAAGACTTTATTTTATTTGAATAGCAAAATATATGTTTTTTGGGCATAATATATACAGAATAGTATTTTCAATGGCTGATCAGATTGAAATTACCTGAAAAGCTCTAGAGATTTACAGAATAAATTCCTGTATTCTATATTAAAGACCTCTTAAATTCGTTTAGTGCAACTTTGAAGCTACCACAAAATCGATGAGAATGTGTGCAAATTGTTGTTGCAAATTTCCAGACACTAAACTGTTGAAAACATTGTTGCCGCCGCCGCTTGGCTCCAATTAATATTGGTAAAAAGCCGCTGTTCTTCTGTCAATCAGGCTTCTTGCTCCTTTCCTCTCTCTTCAGCGGTTAAATAATATTTTAATGGCAGCAATCAAAGTTTTAATTAAACGCTTAAAGACACACACACACATGGGAAACAGGGAAAAGGAAAGAAAAAAACCAAAATGGCAACCGGAAGGCGAAACTAAATCCAAACAAAAAAGGGGTCTGGCTTGGGAGGCACACGTCCTGGGCTAATGGAGCGCAGGCAACCCAAAACATAAACAAAAACTTTTGCAGCGATATTTTAATAGTTTCGCCTCCGCTCCTCCGCGTCCTTTGTCTGTGTTTGTAAGCCGGCGGTGACACTTAGCCAAATATAATATGGCTTTTATGTCAGCCACTTGCAGAAAATTGCTTTGGATCAGGCGGCACGGTGGGTGGAGGATAGCTGTTTGGTTGAGCTTCTGGCTCTGCTTCTCCCCGAGCGTTCTTTCACGTACTCTAACGCTGGCCTTTTTGTTTTGAGTTTGGCAGATCCGCTTTTGCTTTGGCTTTTTGGCAACCGAAACCCGTAGGCACCGTGCAAAAAATATCAGCTTAGCCGGGCTTAGACCAAGCTTAGGCCAAGCTTAGCTGTTTAAAGCTGGAAAAAACTGACCCAAGATGAGCCAAAGCTCAAGTTATTTATATACCTTAATGGATATATATATATAATTTGTATTTACAAGTCCAATTAAGGTCGCTTTCATTCGCTCAGTGCCTTCAAAAGGTCATGACAAAGTTTCTGAAGCAGCCACGAAACTCTCTTTAAAAAGGGAAAATATAAGAATGGAGTGCATCTAGGTCTAGGATTAGGGTCTATTCAGGTTTGAAAAACAAAGCATTTGGAATAGACAACCAACCCAAAACCATCTCCGAATCTGAAAGCCAAACATCCTAGACCTAGCCTCAAGTTGAACTCTCTCTCTGAGCTTTATAAGCATCCTTCTTTCGATATATTTCTTAGTGAAATTGCTTTATAAATTATATAATATTCTGTTTATTATATATTTATTTTAAATATATTAAAATGCAACCACTCACCCCTCAGTATCTTCTTGTCACGATGTCCATGGCAGCGGTATCCCTGGCATCCCCGCTTCTGCTGCAGCGTGGGGCAGTGCTTGCCTCCATTTTGGGCCGCCTGAAGGATCTGGCGATTGCGGGTCATCATTCCAGTGCCGCAGCTCTTGTCGCACTCGCTCCAGGGTCCCCAGTCGCCCACCTGGCAGTCCAGCACTGAAATAACCAAGCAAAATATACATATATACTATTATGGCATTTATCTAGAAAATTGAGCTAGGAAATCGAAGGCAGGGCTCTGTGCCTAAACAGCGCCAAGGACATGCCCGGCCACGCTCAAGTTTTTTAATTAAAAATGCTGCAGTGCAGCGGCGAAAATTAATTAAAATCCATACGCCTTGATTGCGCTTCTCGGTGCCCAAAGGTCTGGCTTTGTGCCGCCGCCGCCTGCATTTGGCCCCCGGGAGGGGGGCGGACTCTGTGGTTAGTGTTAATCAAATCCCCTTGCCATACCACAGTCCCAGTCGGAGGACTGCCCAAGCCCCTGACCTGAGAGAGGGCGAGGCGCTAATGAAGCCACAAAAAGCTGGCCACAAACGAAATGAAATTCGCAAGGAATAATCTTTGTGGAGAGCTGCAGGCTCAACGATAACCCTACTATTCCTATCGAACTGAAATAGCTCTTTACTTGGATCTTTCCAACAATTATTCTTTAGGATTTCCATTGAATTTTTAACAATTTTCAACAATTTCCAATAATTATCCATTGGCTCTAGGATAACCCCATTCCCATCGAATTTTCAACAATTTCCAACAATTTCCAACAATTATCCTATGGCTTTAGGATAACCCTATTCTCATCGAATTCAAATAGCTCTTTACTTGGATCTTTCCAACAATTATCCTTTAGGATAACCCTATTCCCATCGAATTTTCAACAATTTCCAACATTTATCCTTTAGCTAGTCCTGCTAACATGGGATTTGCCATAGCTGGCCATAACTTTTTCACGGCCATTATTATTTAGCAAAGTGCCAGGACTCTGGTAATAATTATTCATGGCCATTCGTCCTGGCCAGTAGCTGCTCCTGCTGATTGGCCCCGATACCCGCTGGCGGGCAATTTCGCGCAGTGCACAAAGGCAATTTATATTTTCATTTTCATTTTTACATCGCTCTCGCTAGTGCCACTGGCTTTTATTGTGGCCTCGCGGAATTAACAAAAAGCTGGCAAAAGGACCTGGCAAGGCGAGAGCCAAAGGACGAGGCGCCGGCGTCGTTGGCGCGAACAAAGCGTCAGGATAATAGAACTAAGTGCAGGAGCTGCTGGAGCTGCTGCTGGTTGGGGGCGGAATAAAACTAAAGTAGTTAAAATTATGATTGCATTGGCTCCAAGCTCCCAGCTCCCAGCTCCCAGCTCCCTTGCCAGGACGTTGGCAGGACGCTTAGCATATTGTGCGGGCCCATGAATGCGAATGCGGGCAAAGTTTCGCCAAGGAAAAAGGAGTTTCAAGCCACGAAGCCAGTGCTGTTAACTTGGCTTCTTTTTTTCGCCCAAACATTTGCCCGAGTCCTTGCCAAAGAATCAAGTGTTCTTTGCATACACTTTTCCAGGATAAATCCGTTTTTGGTTATTATTTACTTTGAAAATTACAATTTTAAATCTTTTAATTTACTTTTCAGACACAATTAACAATGTATTTCCAGCTAACTTGACTGTGTTTTCCCGCCAAAAAAGTAAACCAGAGTGGGTTGCCGCGGGCAACTCTACCTCCTGGTGGCTCCTGGCTCCTGGCTCCTGGCTCCTGGCTCGCCGCGACTCTGGGGCTTGTTGTGGCAATAAATGGCATTATGCTGCTTAGCAATCATGCCACTTGATTGTTGTGGCGCTGCGACAAGGAGCTGAAAATTAGATGGCCACCAGGAGCCGGAAGGGGATGGGAAGTGAAAGCGGGAGCTGCAGCAGGAGGACCATTGCTTTCAGGCATCGTGTTCCACTTGCAGCTGGTTCAGCGCTTAATCCTTCGTCCTGCCACTTTCCACTTGCCACTTGGCCGCCATTTAGCTGCCCGGCAAATTTGCCTGCCAGGATAATGAAAGTGGTCATGACGGTGCAAATGGGCCTGGCAATGATGATGGCCAATAGTAGCTGCTGCTCCTGATGGCTGTCACCCTTTTTTAGTGGCGTTAATAGAGGGGCCCCCCATTACCTGCCTGAACTAAGGACATTATCGAAAGTCCTGGCAGTTTTAACAAATTAAATTTAATTGTTTTTAGCTGTTCATTGTTAGTATTTAATTACTTAAATTCTAAATGCTACATAGTTTCAGTTAAGAATGTATAAAACCATTTTAAAGGTCTGCAAAAAGCTTGACAAGCGCGCTGAAACGTGAGAATTCAACGCGAAAAAGGACCTCAAATTCCACAATCGCAGCAGCTGCACTCGACTTGAGTCCTTGTCACTGCGATGTCGCCGATGCTATTACTGCCCAGTGCTCCTCCTACTGGGACTGAATTTCCTTGGGGCTCATATGCACAACATAACTCAATGTCGGGGGGCAGTGGGAGAGAGAGAGAGCGCTGGGATCTGCCAGTGGAATGTACTGAACGAACTGGAGTCCGGAGCTTCCCAGAGGGGAGGACCAACTGGAAAATGTTTGGGCCACAAAATGGGGGGCAGCCAGCTGGCCACAACAGCAGGCCATGGTTATTTGTGGTCAGCGAAGTAAAACAAATGGCGTCAAATGCTGCTGCCAGTGAGTGTTGTGTCTATTTGCACTCGAAAAAATAAGCAGGAAGTTGATATTTTAAGGTAAAACTAAAAAAATATATATACCAAATTGAAAGACACTTTCTAATTGACTTTCCTTTTAGGGAATATATAATTTCCAAGTTATTTATTTATACATTTCAAGTGGCAACACATTTCTTGCAGTGTCCTTTGGCTACTGCTCTTTGTTCCAGTTTTTGGCTTTTCCGGCCATTGTGTTTCGCCTGGCTGTGTCTGTGTGTCTGGGCCTGGTCAAGTCAAGTAAAGTCAAACAATTGCTTGTGACAAACTCAAGAGCGCAGATAAGCGAAGAATGGACACTGAAATGCGGCAACAGCTGGCCTCCCATCGCCTCCCAGCCAGCCTCTAATTACATAACACTTGCCAGACGCCCTCCCGGCTACCCCGACCAAAATAATCGGCTTCCGCTGCATTATCGTTATTGCCCAGAGAACTCTGGCTCTGCATAAGTCGGGCCAATTCGCACGACATTGCCTGACAGCTAATCCCGGAGTGCCAATCCCAGAGGGAAACACTAAGAACAAAGCCAGCCAGCCACTGGTAGTAGCTATTACCACATACATATTCCGGCAGTTACTGTGGCCAAAGTTTCTGGCCAAAACTTTGTCGCTTGCATATTTCAATAACCGATATTGCCGAAAGAAAGAGCACCCGAAACGCGTCAGGAACTGGGGTGTTTGTACCTGGATTAGAGTTTCTCCAGCAGGAAGCACCAGTGTTGTCATAACAATAACCGAAACTTGCACAAATACTTTGGCTTTCTGAATTTTATCGGCAGTCGCAGTGGGTGTCCCTTCTTATAGTCAAACTTCAGGCTTAATAAATTTTATTTAAATATTTCAAGTGCTATTTTTAATCGATTTTTAATTGCTAGGCCATAAATTCAGGCAGCTAAATTAAATTACGAATTACGAATTACGATTTACCATTTGGCATTCGAGATAACAATTACACGCACAGTTGGCCGGGCCATTACACACGCGTTACCCCCAAAAATATTGTAATTAATGCATATAGTACATCCTCGAGCTGGACTCTTGCCAATATCCTGGAAATTGGCGCAACAAATGGTACCTCGGACGTCGTGTTCCATTTGTTTATGTGCCGCTTTTGGTTTTTAACAATGTGACAAATATTGGCATCAGGAACGAATTGCCACTTTGTCATGGCTAAGCCATTGGCAGGGATCCAAAAAATAGCACATGGCAGAGGGCTTTTTTATAAATTTGTGTGTACAGTATATAAGGATGTAGGAAATTCCCTTTAAAATGTGAAAAATATGTAAAAAATGTAGTTGAAATGAAGGTTTCTCATTTTTTATATGCTTTAAAATTTGAAAACTATTTTTGTTTAGTTGTTTATAAACTAAAATGAATGTTAAGCATTGTTTCTAACCAAAAACCAGACCCTTGACTCGGGCATTTACTAGGTTTAGTTACTGTACTTGCTTATACTTATATACATGCATCATATATATACACCCTGCAAGTTGTTTCTCTCAGTGCAACCAGCCTCTACCTGAACCTCGCCGTGCGAGTAACCAACAATGCGGCTGAAAATATGAAATGAAATTTGCGAAAATTGCTGGCGCATTCTTCTTGCACTTAATATTTATGGCATAGCTGCACTTAATTAAATCCCTGACAAGCAACTAAAATAAAACTCTTTGATATGCCACCACCACCACCACCAGCAGCAGCACTCCCTTTTGGCCAACCGGCAGAGGCGGAACTTTGTTTTCTGGACACTCCATGTGCTAAAGTATATTACTTTGGCTTGGCTTCTGGCACGACAAAGTTATAATAGTCCTTTGCAGCAGCCATAAAAGGGGCGGCCGGGGAGGGGATGCTATGTGTGTAAGCCAAAAGCGGCTGAGCACACACAAAAGCTGGCTTGGTGTGTGTGAGTGTAAGTAGGGGGAATGGAACAACACGGCGGATACGTAACGGCTGGTCCAATTGCGAACGCGTGCGACTCACTGATGGATGGAATGGGTTGGGTTGGGGAGGGGAATGTGCCAACACTTAATGCAAATTACAATTCGCCAGCCACAGCTGCGGGTGGCGGGGAAGCAGGTCCAATTACCTAGACGGCCTCGACACATAACCTTCTCCCGCCATCACCAAAAACAAAAAAAGAAACACAAAGCGAAATGAAAAGAATTTAAATGTTTTTTCAAGCCAGGAAAATAGGTTCTTTAATTTGTACAACTCTAGTGGTTTATTGTTTAAGCTTCCCCAGAAACCAGAGAAGCTAAAATGACTTTAAAGTTTCGTGTTAACATTTATATATAAATTCCTTTCAGAATTAGTTTACCCACATGGTAGCGCCGCCAGCCTTTAATCAAATTCCGTTTGGCAATTAGTTAATTTATTTCCATTTAGAGCAAATAATGTTGACATGGAAACGCTGACCGCAGAAACATG